GGTGAATGGGCTCCCTAGGACGGGTTTGACATCCAACGGGTTTGGGTCCAGCGTGTTCGACTGATTCTTGGTTTTTCTGTGTTTAAAATCACTCCAGAATGAAGCCTTTCGGTTTTTTTATATAGTCTGCTATTTTAATTTACTTTGTTGATCTTGCACCGCTTTGCACCGCTCCGTTGCCTGGGTGAAAATATAGATATTTAGTTGGGTCTGGTTGGGTTGATGGCTTACCCCATCAAACATCGCACCTCAACTCATTGACTTTGACACCACAATGTAACCCCTTCCCGGCGGAATTATCGCTTTTGATTTGGATATGTTGTATTTCATATCCACTACGGCCTACATGCAAAGTTTGAAGTCAATTGACTCCGTAGTTGATTAGACGTTCAACGTCTGAAACCAAATGGAATGTACGTCCAATCTGCCCTGCTCTGATTGGTCAGTTTTCTAACCCTGAATGGAATGGACGTCCATTCCACCCCCACCTGTTGGATAGACGTTCAACGTCTGAAACCAAATGGAATGTACGCCCAATCTGCCCTGCTCTGATTGGTCGGTTTTCTAAGGTTTTCTAACCCTAAATGGAATGGACGTCCATTCCACCCCCACCTGTTGGATAGATATTTAGTTGGGTCTGGTTGGGTTGATGGCTTACCCCATCAAACATCGCACCTCAACTCATTGACTTTGACACCACAATGTAACCCCTTCCCGGCGGAATTATCGCTTTTGATTTGGATATGTTGTATTTCATATCCACTACGGCCTACATGCAAAGTTTGAAGTCAATTGACTCCGTGGTTGATTAGACGTTCAACGTCTGAAACCAAATGGAATGTACGTCCAATCTGCCCTGCTCTGATTGGTCGGTTTTCTAACCCTGAATGGAATGGACGTCCATTCCACCCCCACCTGTTGGATAGCTCTCCGCGTCGCGCCATCCATACTCCCCCCGTCCCAGCACCGCCAACGCGTCTACCAGCGCGCACTCATAATCCTCCACCTGAACCCGCTGGTCCAGCAGCTCAATGCAAAAATCCAAACATGCCATCTGGATCTTGGTTGATTTGAACTTATCTTCTTCTTCTGACTGCGTATCTCTCTGTCCCTTCTCCTCCTCCTCTTCTTCTTCCTCAGTCATCTGCTCATCCATGGGGTCTGGGCTGATGGGGTGTCGCTGGTCGGCTCCCTCTGTGGTGGCTACCTGCCATAATACCCTCCATGTCTTGCGCTGCCGTGGTGTGAACCGGTACTGTGGGCTCGTCCATTCATGCTCGACCTGCGTTCGGGCGAAAAACATCAACATCTGCTGCCATGGCCTCACGTGCTCGGCGATGCTCTCCTCATCCATGTATGCCTGCAACGGGGTGTGCCGGGTCTGGTGTCGCTCTGTGCGGATGGCCTCGATGCGGACGAAGTGGCCCAGCCGTGTGATGACTCGCTGGCTGGTACGGGCAACCTGCCCCATGGCCTCCCGATGGCCCTCGCGGCCAGTTCATCTGGGCACGTGGTGTCATCCTCGGGCCGCTGCACGCAGTTGACCAGATCATTGGGTGCGATGTTGGTCAAGTACACCGGCCATCTGGTCCGCCGCAGCCATGGGTTGGCTTCATCGTGCTCCCCGGCCTGGATGACATTGCTGGTCTGCCGTTGCTGTTCCTGGTAAAATCGCTCCAGCTCATCAATGGCCTGGCTGGCTCTGTTCTGGTCTGGCGTGCCGGTATGCTCAGTAGTCTCCTTAGTCTGGATCTGTATGTAGTGGGAGCCCTTGCGCGATGCAAATATCTGCTGGAACTGCACCTTCTGGCATGATCTGTCCACCTCATCCTGTGCTGCCGTACGCTTTTGTGGCGCTGTACGGCCACGGCTGGGATATGGCGACCAGCTGTGCTTGTTCTGCCAGTGCTTGCGTATGGTGTTCATGTTCCCTGCCAAATACTGGCACTGGGGGATCCTGCTGGCACCTGTAGCCATCTTGAATGGGTAGTTCCGGGATTGGTTCATTCAGTATTGTGGGCAGTGTTAACTGTGTAGTATGTGGGCAGTGTTAACTGTGTAGTATCTCGAGCCACATTGTCCCACTGTTCAATGTTCTCCTTTATCTGCTGAACCACCGCATGCTTTAGCTGATGGGCCTTGCCTTTCAGATGCCGTTCAATCTCTGTTGGCCACACAGCGTGCTTGCACCGGCGGCATATGATAATGAGGTATGATTCACAGTGGATAAATAATCGATGTTCCATGTCGATGTTGGGTCTGTCTTGTGCATTGAATATATATATATTTCCTTCATTCAGTGTCTTTGTGTGAAACTTGACAGATCTGATCTGGTGTGAATGTTTGTTTTTCTGTGGTTAAAATCACTCCAGGATGAAGCCTTTCAGTTTTCTTATATGTTTTGCTATTTTTATTTACTTTGTTGATCTTGCACCGCTTTGCACCGCTCTGTTGCCTGGGTGAAAATATATATATATAGTTGGGTCTGGTTGGGTTGGTGGCTTACCCCATCAAACATCGCACCTCAACTCATTGACTTTGACACCACAATTTAACCCCTTCCCGGCGGAATTATCGCTTTTAATTTGGATATGTTGTATTCCATATCCACTACGGCCTACATGCAAAGTTTGAAGTAATGGGGTGGCTGGCTGCCGCAGAAGGGAAGGGAAGAGGGAGCTCGACCGCGACCGGGCCACTGCGGGCACGCGGAGGCGGGAGCGGGAGCACGCACGGGCGGCCAATCAGGGACGGAGAAAATCGGACGGGGGCGCGTCGGACCACGCACTATGTATAACTTGGATAGTTTAACCCTAACCCTATAACCTTCAACGGGCATGTCCAGCGGGTTTGACTTTTAAATGGTTTCATCCCACTGGTTTGGGTCCAACGGGTTAACGGGTTCGTTCAACGGGTTCGACCCCTGAACACCCCTCACTCTAACCCTGACTCTGACCACCTCATCCTCCCCCCCAGCCTCTACCCTCACTCTTTGTAACCCTAACCCTGGCCCATTATTGTATGGGATAATGCTCTTTAAAACTCCCATATTTTTGAAACCCCCCCTCTACCTTCTGATATAATCGTCCAGCGTGCTCGACTTCCAACAGGTTGATGGGATCATCCAACGGGTTCGGGTCCAATGGGTGAATGGGCTCCTTGGACGGGTTTGACGTCCAACGGGTTTGGGTCCAGCGTGTTCGACTAATGTTTGTTTTTCTGTGCTTAAAATCACTCCAGAATGAAGCCTTTCAGTTTTTTTATATATTTTGCTATTTTAATTTACTTTGTTGATCTTGCACCGCTTTGCACCGCTCCGTTGCCTGGGTGAAAATATAGATATTTAGTTGGGTCTGGTTGGGTTGATGGCTTACCCCATCAAACATCGCACCTCAACTCATTGACTTTGACACCACAATGTAACCCCTTCCCGGCGGAATTATCGCTTTTGATTTGGATATGTTGTATTTCATATCCACTACGGCCTACATGCAAAGTTTGAAGTCAATTGACTCCGTGGTTGATTGGACGTTCAACGTCTGAAACCAAATGGAATGTACGTCCAATCTGCCCTGCTCTGATTGGTCGGTTTTCTAAGGTTTTCTAACCCTAAATGGAATGGACGTCCATTCCACCCCCACCTGTTGGATAGGGTTGATGGGTTCATCCAACGGGTTCGGGTCCAATGGGCTAATGCGCTCCTTGGACGGGTTTGACGTCCAACGGGTTGGGTCCAGCGTGTTCGACTTCCAACGGGTTAATGCGCTCCTGGGACGGGTTTGACGTCCAACGGGTTAATGCGCTCCTGGGACGGATTTGACGTCCAACGGGTTTGACGTCCAACGGGTTTGACGTCCAACGGGTTGGGTCCAACGGGTTCGACGTCCAACGGGTTGGGTCCAGCGTGTTCGACTTCCAACGGGTTAATGCGCTCATCCAACGGGTTCGACGGCCAACGGGTTTGGGTCCAACGGGTTTGACTTCCAATGGGTTAACGGGTTTGTGCTCAATTTAACCATCTATTCTGACCTCACTGCCCACCCCTGTCTCTAGCCTCACTCTTTGTCAACCCTAACCCTGACTCTGACCACCTCATCCTTCCCCCCAGCCTCTACCCTCACTCTTTGTAACCCTACCCTCTGTCTCTTGCTTCACCTGCCTTTATATATATATACATCTTTCATCCTCCTGTGGTGCCTCTCACCCGTGATGTGCCCCTCACCCATGATATCACTTGACCTCTGTACCCTCTAACTCGATCTTCCCCCTCTCTGCCTCCTGATATATCCCTCGCAGCCAACAAACCATCTCCACCAGCCGGTTGTGCTCCATGCCCTGCCCCTCAACCTTCTGTCTCAAAAATTCAATCACCGCCTCCTGATCATCTGCATCCACATTGAACTCTCTCAGCCGCTGTCTCCACGCCTGCTTCATCTGCCCTGCATGACACCCATACATCATCATTGCCACTGTCGGGATCAAAAATCCCCTGTACGGACACTGCCTCTGTGTCTTCCAGCTGTTGCATATGGACTGCGGCATCCCGCATCGGAAGCACCCGGAATACCGTGTGTATTTGATCTTGCTCCGCACTGTCATCATCCATCTCTTTGCCTCCTGGCTCTCCTCGTGGGGACACTGGTACAGCTCATGGTCAAACTCCCGCTTGCCATTTGCACATATTAAACACTGATCCTTCCACCTCTGCGCCTCTTCCACTAAAACCTCCTCATCCATCAATGCCCTCTGCCCTCGCTGCTGATGTGTGATGATGAACCGGCCTTGATGGACATTCTGTTTGTGGAATGTCTGTCTGATTGTTGATGATGTGCCTCTGATGTCTTCACTGATTACCCTTCATTCTGATTGCCTGTGAACGTGTAATCCGCCTCCTTCATGGCGTTCACCACGGCCCACTCTCCCACCATCTGGCTTGCTTGGTTCCTGGCCAGCATGTCGGATGCATTGGCGTCCAGTCGCAGCGCCTTGTGCACCACCATGAACCGTGCCACCTTGATGATCCGTGACAACATTGGTGGGTAGCTCTCGGCGTCGCGCCATCCATACTCCCCCCGTCCCAGCACCGCCAACGTGTCTACCAGCGCGCACTCATAATCCTCCACCTGAACCCGCTGGTTCAGCAGCTCAATGCAAAAATCCAAACATGCCATCTGGATCTTGGTTAATTTGAACTTATCTTCTTCTTCTGACTGGGTATCTCTCTGTCCCTTTTCCTCCTCCTCTTCTTCTTCCTCAGTCATCTGCTCATCCATGGGGTCTGGGCTGATGGAGTGTCGCTGGTCGGCTCCCTCTGGGATATGGCGACCAGCTGTGCTTGTTCTGCCAGTGCTTGCGCATGGTGTTCATGTTCCCTGCCACATACTGGCACTGGGGATCCCGCTGGCACCTGTAGCCATCTTGAATGGGTAGTTCCGGGATTGGTTCATTCAGTATTGTGGGCAGTGTTAACTGTGTAGTATGTGGGCAGTGTTAACTGTGTAGTATCTCGAGCCACATTGTCCCACTGTTCAATGTTCTCCTTTATCTGCTGAACCACCGCATGCTTTAGCTGATGGGCCTTGCCTTTCAGATGCCGTTCAATCTCGGTTGGCCACACAGCGTGCTTGCACCGGCGGCATATGATAATGAGGTATGATTCACAGTGGACAAATAATTGATGTTCCATGTCGATGCTTGGTCTGTCTTGTGCATTGAATATATATATATTTCCTTCATTCAGTGTCTTTGTGTGAAACTTGACAGATCTGATCTGGTGTGAATGTTTGTTTTTCTGTGTTTAAAATCACTCCCAGCATGAAGCCTTTCAGTTTTCTTATATGTTTTGCTATTTTTATTTACTTTGTTGATCTTGCACCGCTTTGCACCGCTCTGTTGCCTGGGTGAAAATATATATATATAGTTGGGTCTGGTTGGGTTGGTGGCTTACCCCATCAAACATCGCACCTCAACTCATTGACTTTGACACCACAATTTAACCCCTTCCCGGCGGAATTATCGCTTTTGATTTGGATATGTTGTATTCCATATCCACTACGGCCTACATGCAAAGTTTGAAGTAATGGGGTGGCTGGCTGCCGCAGAAGGGAAGGGAAGAGGGAGCTCGACCGCGACCGGGCCACTGCGGGCACGCGGAGGCGGGAGCGGGAGCACGCACGGGCGGCCAATCAGGGACGGAGAAGATCGGACGGGGGCGCGTCGGACCACACACTAGAGTATAGTTGAAGCCTCATTCTTGGTGATGCTTTCATTTATGTTGTTGTCTGTGCTCTTGCTCACACTTCTGGCCATTCTGAGACTGCATGTGCTGTTGAATCTGATGTGGGTTTCACCCTGCTGGCTCTCCATCTCTGACTCCTGGCTAAGCCACCATGTAGAAATGCAACACCATGCTGGATCACGGAAGCGAGAGCGACCCTTGAGCTCCTTGATTGAAGATGACTCTTCAAAGATCAAAAGATCATGGAGGCATCATGGCCGGGCTCCTCCAGAGTCAGTCAGAGTCAATAGGGATACTCCCCAGTGGACTAGACAGGGCCATAGGCAGGGCCATAGGCAGGGCCATAGGCAGGGCCATAGGCAGGGCCATAGGCAGGGCCATAGGCAGGGCCATAGGCAGGGCCATAGGCAGGGCCATAGGCAGGGCCATAGACAGCAGACGGCATTCTCC